AACAGGACAGAGAGATAAGTCCATGTCACTCTTGATGCAGATTGCAAGGAGTATGGGAACAGTATTCTCAACTATAGGACTTCCCTAAGACTAAGACACTCTGGAAAATCATTCATAAAGCCTGCATTTCAGGTAAAAGCCATAGACACCTGATTATATGACCCTGTCTCTGGGGACATGGATGATGCACTGGAGGCCTTCATGCAATAAGGCCTTTCCCAGTGGAAGACCCCGCTATCACTACTGTTGTCTCTGAAATGACCGTGGGGGCAACAATGGAAAAGCTCCACTCAAAAGTCTTGCTTGGGATAAAAAACAATAAAATGACTTCAGTGGTTTCCCACAACTTGGGGTGAACAGATAGAAAACAAGGGGAATCCATGCCCAGAGGGCCAAAAGGGGAATTCAAGAGATTTTATAAAGGGGGAAAAAAAAGGAGAGCACAGGGTTGATCCATGGAGCAATATGGCTTTTGTTGGCAAAACAGGATAGATAAAACCGAAGTGAATGAGATTCCTACAGAAGACTTAACACCCCTACTATGTAGTAGAGAGAAGTCCTCTAAATTAAAGGTTAAGGCCTAATTCCATATTCCCATTGTGATGGCCTGACTGGTACAGAATGACTCAGACCTCCAAGCTATCCAAAACCAACAAGACTCACCAAACTCACTAGCTAAGGTAGTGATGGATAACTGAATAGCCTTGATTATCTGTTGGCAGAACTGAGGCATTTGTTTTATTGCCAACAACTCTTGTGTATATATCAATAATTCAGGTAAGGTAAAAACTAAAGAACATCCATGCTCAGGTGGGATGATTACTGACTATATACCTGCAGTCCCCATCCCCCCAACTCATTTTTTAAAAAACTCCTTAGTTGGCTTAATCCAGGCACTTGGGGTTCCTAATTAGGGACCATCCTCAAGGTTAGGGTTGATAATCATCCTGGGTCCTGTTCTCCTAGAGACCTTGATGAAGTGCTGCCTCAAAATGACAGGTAGGCTCTGCAGGCAAACTGCATCCATATAGATTGTTCAAGGGCCCCATTAGATCCAGCTCTACCTCCAAATTTGGGGCAGACAGTGGTCTTATCAGATTTTATGCACTTTATCTGCTATTTAAGCAGCTGAACAATGGTTGGGGGGTGGACCATTGAGAAAGGCAGTCATGCACAGTCTCTTGACCCTTGTGTGGCAGCATAACAGTGTGCCTTGGACCTGGAACATTTCTGGACATGGAGATGAGCCCTCATACCCTGTACTGGGTGTATAGATTTGTTTGGGAGTATCTTTCCCTGTTCCTGATTTGATATTTACTTTGTTCTGCCTAAAGTGTGTGCATCATATGGCACCTGGCCAACCCTACTGCTATTTTTGTTCTGGCAGAGAGAGGTGGGGATCCTTCACCTGCAGCACAGGAGGGGTGTGTATAGATCATCTGTGCATCAACTGTAGGGTGAGAAGCGCCGGCTGTCGGGGACTGATGCTCACTATTGAGGCTGATTTTGCTCTGCTTCTTGTGTGAGTAAAGTGTTACATCCAGTGCCTGTGTGAGTCATATTTCTTGATGACCCTGATACCTGCAAAGCATGCAGTGGTTGACATCCTGGGGCTGCGGCTTCTGGTAGTAAGCAGTAGATGTCTCTTGCTCCACAGCAGGAAATATAGGTACAGATAATGCAGGTCCTGACTCACTTTGTATTTTCTCAAATAATCATGAGGCAAGGTCATCAAGTGAGAATGGAAAATAATGAGGTACAAGAGGTTTAGGAAAAGGATATGTGAAATTGTCAGTCTGCAGAGTAAAAAAAGGCAGACCAAGGAAGTGAAGTAGGACTGGTTGCCAGAGTTGTGTGCCCATGACATGTATGGCCATAAATTTATTATGAATAAAGTTTTAAGCTTTCCTTTTCTAGAGATATTCAGACACTTGGGTGCAGGTATGGAGTAGGTGGGATTAATTAGGGTTAAAGTTTTGCCAGGCAAGATAAGGAAGAAAGGACTAAAGAGTTAAGAGTGTTTGCAAGGAAATGATTTGAATAAAAAAACAAGGAAATATAAACTGGGTAAAGGGATGATTTGTAGTGAGGAAGAGATGGTGTCTGTGGACTGGAGATTTCATTAAGTCCAAGGAAGAGTTGAAGTGGGAAGACTAGAAATGATAGGAAACGGGAGCATTAGAGAATAGGGTTCTGGAATTTGAGATTTTAGAGGTAGTATAATTGTTGGTAAAGATGGAGTCAACAGTGTTACCCCAGGATGGGGTGGTTGAGCTGGAAGAATGAAATGATCATTGGAGGGAAGGAGGATGAGAAACTGAGAATGTAAGGTATTAGGTGAATCATCACTGTGGCTGTTAACGTTGTAATTGATAAGAGTGGTGGTGAGAATAAAGACAAACAGGTGCTAGAGTCATCAGTGGATGAGGGGGTGTGATGCAGGGGTTTAAAAGATGACGGTAACAAGGACAAGAAGCTAGTGTTAAAATCTATTGGCTCACTTCAAAGATTATGGGGCTTTGGCAGTAGGAGAGTGAGGGTAAAATTTGGGAGCTACAACAAAGAACAAGGGGAGCACTCCACCTCCAGGCCTGTTTTACATAGGTGGTTCAGTTTGGGACATTTAAAGTTTGAGATGTTTGTAGACATCCCATACAAAATACCAAGTATGCAATTGAATAAACAAGCCTAGAATTTGGGAGAAAGGTGAAGGGTGGAGCTGTGCATTTGGGATTCGTACTACAAATTCATCAGTTTTGGCTACCTGGCATCCACAGGATCCTTTTCCAAGTTCTCTTAGTTTTTTTGTGGATCCATCCTTCATTTACTCTCAGCTCATATTATTTGGATGCAACTACTCACTCTCAGCTCTAGGGTAGGGCCTGATTGGCTTAACCACTCCAGTCCTACCCACCTGGCTACAGTGATTGGTCTGCAGGTAGAAACAACCCAGTTTGGGCCAGTGAGAGTCAGATTTAACTTTTTTGTCCAACTGTTGAGAAAGAGTCCATATTGCATATTTGAGGATGTAAAATCTGGAAGTGCTACAACCTTCTCTCTCTCTCTTTTTTTTTTTTTAAAGATTTTATTTATTTATTTGAGAGAGAGAGAGAATGAGAGATAGAAAGCACGAGAGGGAAGAGGGTCAGAGGGAGAAGCAGGCTCCTCGCTGAGCAGGGAGCCTGTTGCAGGACTCGATCCCGGGAGTCCGGGATTATGACCTGAACCGAAGGCAGTCGCTTAACCAACTGAGCCACCCAGGCATCTCTCTCTTTTTTTAAATTGAAGTATAGTTGACACACGATGTTCCGCTAGTTTCAGGGGGATAGCATAGTGATTCAACAAGTCTATATGTTATGCTATGCTCACGACAAGTGTAACTACCCTCTGTCAACCATACAACACCATTACAGTACCATTGACTGTATTCCCTGTGCTGTACCATTCATCCCTATGACTTATTCATCCCATAACTGAAAGCCTGTACTTCCCACTCCACCCATTTTGCCTCTCTCCCAACCCCCTCCCCTCTGGCAACCATCAGTTTATTCTCTGTATTTATGGGTCTGTTTCTGCATTTTGTTTGTTCATTTATTTTGTTTTTATAGATGCCACATATAAGTGAAATTGTGTGGTATTTGTCTTTGACTTATTTCACTTAGCATAATGCCCTCTAGGTCCATCCATGTTGTTACAAATGGCAAGATCTCATTCTTTTTTATGGCTAATATTGCATTGTGTATATATAGATATCTATCTATCTATATATATATATATATCACATCTTCTTTATCCATTCATCTATTGATGGACACTTGGGTTGCTTCCATATCTTGGCTATTTTAAATAATGCTACAATAAATGGATATTTGAATTATTGTTTTTGTTTTTTTTTCTATATTTGAATTAGTGTTTTTGTTTTCTTTGGGTAAATACCTAGCAGTGGAATCACAGGACCACATGGTATTTCTATTTTTAATTTTTTGAGGAACTACCACACTGTTTTCCATGGTGGCTGTACCAGTTTACATTCTCACTAACAGTGCATGAGGGTTCCTTTTTCTCTAAATCCTGCTACAACCATCTTTTGACCACAAGAGGAGAACCTCTGAGAATTACGTTAACACACAGAGGGGAAGAGAGTAGAGCTGAGTTGAGAGGCAGAGAGAATTGGGTTGTAGGGATATCATTTGAACATGATTGATTCTTATGGCACTGGAGTTTAGCCCTTCCTCAGTCAAATCAGGTTGTGTTCAGTTATCTATTGCTGGTTAATAAACCATACTAAACCCGGTGCTTACAACAAAAACAATTATTATTTCTCATGATTCTGTGGGTTGACTGGGTAGTTTTTCTGATTGGGCTTATTCATGCTGAGGTGTTCGGTTAACAGATCTGCTGGGGGTGAGGCTCAGCTGGGACATCCAGGACGGCTGGTCCTCTCTCCACATGGTATTTCATTCTGGATGTCTTCATGGCGTAGACATGTCAGGGCAGTATTCCAAGAGGTCACCTATTAAACTTTTGCTTGTATCGTGTATGCTAATGTTCCGTTGATCATATCAAGTCATATGGCCAAGCCCAGGGTCAATATAAGGGGAGGTGAACAAGGATGTGGATCCTCAGAGGTGTGATTTTCCAGGATCATTACTGAAATGATCTATGACAATCTGCTTCTCCTAATTCTTTTTTTTTTTTTTTTTAAGAGAGAGAGAGAATGTGGGGGAAAGGGGAGGGGCAGAAGGAGAGGGAGAAAGAGAATCAAAAGCAGGCTCCACACCCAGTGTGGAGTCCGACTCGGGGCTCAGTCTCATGACCCTGAGATCATATAAGCTGAACTGAAAGAGTTGGTTGCTTAACCAGCTGAGCCACCCAGGTGCCCCCTGCTTCTACTAATTCTTTTTTTTTTTTGTACACATTTAGTTTTATTGTAACAAAGCAACTTGTACACTTTTAACGTTTAAAACTGAGCATCATCTTTCCTTTCCAGTGAAACAAAAAGAAAATTTAAAAATAAACAGGAACAAAATTACAATAGAGAATGTCAATTCCAAATAAGATCCTATAGGTTCTGCTGATTCTCCCATCGAGTCACAGGGCTCAAGTCATCATTAGGAGAGAGTTTTATTTTAAAAGTGTCATCTTAAACTGCAAGGATGTCCGTTAAACATCACAATTAAACATGCCAAAGGAGAAGCCATGTTGTCAAAATGCCCACTTAACCCACCCAAACATCTCAAACCCACCCTTTGCTGTCCTTCTATAACCCCATTTTTTAAAGTTTTTTTTCTTTTTTTTAAACAAGAGAAAGTAGACAGGTACATGTTGGTAAATGCTAACTGTCCATATTCACATAGAGACACAGTGTAATCTCTGAGCCCAATATACAGAGAAAGGAGGAAAAAAGCTAGAATTCTATGCACTACTACACAGGGGCCTAGCACCCTCCAGCTTCCAGCAGAGCTAAGGGAGCAGAAGGTTTTTCTTTTTCCCACAGAGCACGGTGGTGTTGATTCCATAAAGTTTTTGTTGAGACAGGAAGGGATAAAAATGAATTTGGAACAGAAAGGGGTAGAGATTCTTTTCCCACTGTATTCTGCTCAAGGTATTTCCCCCCAAAATAAGTTGAGAACCATGGTATAAAGGGAGAGAAAAGAGACTTCAAAAAACAGGGCAAATGAGCACAAGAGGAGGAAAAAAAAAAAGACGGCAACTTGCTCCCAGGGACTGAAGAAAATTAAAAAAGGAAGGTTGGAATCCATCAGTGTTCCATTAGTCATCTTCTCCTTCATCCTCCTCTCCTTCCTCCCCCTCATCATCATCTTCATCTTCTTCACCTTCATCCTCATCTCCTTCTTCATCAATGTCTTCCAATCCTTCTTCTTCTTCATCATCATCATCATCTTCTTCTCCTTCCCCTTCTTCATCATCCATATCGGGAACCAAGTAGTACTGTAATGGATTTGGCCACATATCATCTTTGATGACCTCTCCTAACTCATCTGCACCTGCATCAGAATGGTCAGTAAACCAGGTGAAGAAGCTCTCTGGTTCCTCATGCTGTCTCTTCCTGCTGGCTTTATTCTGTGTTTGACTTGAACGTTTCGTCAAATCCTTTCCAGATTTCCATTTGATTTCGGTGGACTTTGAAGATGGATCACCACTCTCATTCAGATGAAATTCTTTGGAGAGAACTTTATTTTCGAAGTAAGGGTTTTCATCAAAATAAAAATCTATTCTGTAACCTGATTTAATATCTTCAAATTCTGTCACTTCAACTCTTGTCAAATAATGCAGCGCCTCTTCATCCTCCTCCCCAAGCAGTGCAGACACTTGTGGATGGTTGACAAATGTTGTTACCCAAAAATTGGGGATTTTGGCGATCAATTCCGACCTCTTCTGAAAAAATGGTTGGCGGAGTTTGTTCTATTTCTGTTCTACTTTCAAAATCTCCTCACTGGCTTGTTTGTTAAGTCTGTCTATTTCATTTTGTACTTCATCAATATGTTCAATTGCTTCTTGCTGTTCTTTTTCTGAGGTCTCGTCGGCCCCGTCGTGGTTGGAGTTGAGCTCCTTTTTACTGACTTTGGCCGCCAGCGCCGACAAGGTGCTGCTCCGCGGTCGGGGCGGGGGAGGGGGCAGAGCGGGGAGGGGGAGAGAAGGGAAGGCGAAGGGGGCGGGCAGCGGCTTCCCCTCAGGCCACACGCGCGGGCGCTCGCTCGGTCCGGCCGCCCCCTCTGCTTCTACTAATTCTTAAACCCCTTGAAGCTCCTTCATGGACCAAAGGGATACATCAACCTCACTTGACCTCATTATAAAAAAATCTGCTACGGGGGCACCTGAGTCGATTAAGCATTGGACTTTTGGTTTGGGCTCAGGTCATGATCTCAGGTTCCTGGGATTGAGCCCTGCATCCGGCTTCACACTGAGTGTGAAGTCTGCTTGAGATTCTCTCTCCCTCTGCCCTCCTGCTTATGCTCTCTCTCTCAAGTAAATAAATCTTTAAAAAAAATATCTGCTATGCTAACTCTCTTACATTTCCCACTAGAGCCATTCCTTAAACTTTTCCACCTGCTTTTTGCTCTGGGAAGCTAACCTAAATGGATTGTATCAATAAATTCCTTGTCCTCTGTTTTCTCACTGGTTTGGGCCAGTAGGGAATCCCAGCAGGAGATCAGAGGGAAGAGGGAGTTGCTGTTGGCCTCCACTAAAGGGTAACTTCTTTTAAAGTGGCCCACTTCACCCCTCTCTTTCTTCCCTTGCCCCTTTAGACCCAAGGCTCAACTGTCCAAGATACTCTTCTTTTTGGTTTTCCTACATCTTGCCTACCTTGTAAAGCTTATTTTGAACTTTTCTCAAGTTACCTATATGTTTTCTGTTGGGACCCTGAATAAAATTTACCTATAAAATACTATTTTGATGAGCTCCAATTAAGTACACTTAAAAGTACACATGCCACTTATTTATATGGTAAAGGATATTCTAGTCTTGTCAACTTTGCGAAAGTGAATTAATATTTTGGTTTCTGTACACCAGCTTTACCTGGTGGCTAGTGTCTATTTTTTTTTTTTTACCCCATTCTCCAAGATTATGTAACATTGTCTAAATGAAAGCTGGCTTTCAGTGTATCTGTGAGAAGCATATTACAACTGTCCATTCTACTGTAGCTTCTTACAAATAAATTATAGTCAGTATTAAATAAGATGTTCAGATAATTCTTAAGCACTGTTTAGAAGGGCTGCAGGCAAATGATTGCCTAGAAACAGATTGGGAAATTTTATAATAACTGAATCCCATACCTTGTCAGTAAATTTTATATAATTGCTGTTAGCTGTCATTTTATGATAACTTCAGGGACATAAGTCCTAGCATCCTAAATTTTCAAAGTCAGGTTTGTAAGCAGGTGTTATATCAATACTTTCACCCTTTAGCTTTATTTCTTATTTATCTATTATTATTTTTAAAAGATTTTATTTATTTGTTAGAGACACACGAGAGAGGGAACACAGGCAGGGGTAGTGGGAGAGGGAGAAGCAGGCTTCCCGTGGAGCAGGGAGCCCTATATGGGACTCGATCCCCGGACCATGGCCTGAGCTGAACACAGATGCTTAACGACTGAGCCACGCTGGTGTCCCACCCTTTAGCTTTATAATATACAGTCATGTGTTATGTATTTTAAACTCTGGTTTTAGAGAATTTAGTAATTCTCTAAAGGACAAACAGCTAATGGCAAACAGCTAGTACAGATTTCTTAAAGATATTTTGGAAGGATGAAATCATGGCTGTTGTATGTTGTATGTTGTTAAAATAATTTCCCAGCTCACTACTAAGTTTTGACAGTTATCTTTTATCATACAACCAGTGTAATGATTGACTATATTTTGTAAGTACTTCAGTATCAAATATCATGAATGGCTGAGCAGTTTCTGGGGGGTTGGGAATTAAAGTGGAGTTGGGAATTGGCTACAGTATATGGCCTCCCTGATGTACGATGTACGTGTTTACTTAGCTCTCCTCACACTAGTACTTTTCTGGGATGTTCTCAACGGTCTGTTTCAGGTATATGGAGGAACCTGAAATAGCATGTACTATTGCAGGGCAAGGCCATGGATCAGAAGTCTTTATCTCAGAAATATTATTTAATGGTCTGTCGTAGAAAGAATTTTTCTACCTCATATTATGTAGGTAATTAGAGCTTGTCAACTTTGAAAATGATTATACAATGAAGGTATTGAAATGGAAGGAAACTTAGAGTTTATTTCTGGGAGATACTTATGTATAAGAATAGAAAATGAAAGATAACCTTTTAAGAAAGACATTGAAAATCAACTTATTTGGAAAGAGTGATTAAATTCAAAGATTCACCAACCATGATATACATTATGAATAGACCTTATATATTTTTACTGCATGCTCTGAAGATAAAGATCTTCAACACATACATATCATTCTGAGAATTAGGAGATCTGCTTGAGCAAATATAAAATCTGTATTGAAAAACTAAAGAACAATACGGGTGCCTGGGTGGCTCAGTCAGTTAAACGTCTGCCTTAAGCTCAGATCATGGTCTCAGGGTCCTGGGATGAGCCCTGCATCAGGCTCCCTGCTCAGTGGGGAGTCTGCTTCTCCCTCTCCCTTTGCGCCTCCCCTCTGTTCGTGTTCTCTGTCTCTCTCTCAAATAAATAAATAAAATCTTTGAAAAAAAAAAGAAAAACTAAAGAACGATAGTATAAGCTGTAACTCTTTGGCATTTCAAGGAAGTCATGTGGAGACAAATCTGATGGAGATGTTTCTTAGAGTATTTAACACATTAAGGGCCAGTCTACTGATTTTTATTCATTAGAATAAAGATGTGGGATAATGATAGTGAAGGCCACACTGTATTTTTTAATATGTCAAATTTTTGCCCTGTTTGAAGGCCTGAAGTTGTTGGGGATTTAGTTGAGGCTACTTTGGCTCATTATACCTAGCAGAGAATGTTTCTAGGCCCTTGTCAAATATCAGTTGGGGGCCGTGTTGGTGAAGTACAGTGGGTTAGTTTCATTCCCTCTGACTCTTAGATTCTGGCTGCTGGGAAGAAGAGAGGGCCAAGTTAGTTTTTTGTAAAAGAGGTGGGAAGAGTGCCTGGGAGGCTCATATGGTTGAGCATCTAGCTTTCGATCTCAGCTCTGGTCTTGATCTCAGGGTCATGAGTTTGTGAGTTTGAGCTCCACGCTGGGCATAGAGTCTACTTAAAAAAAGAAAAAAAGAGTGAGGTGGGAGAGAATTATCTCTATTGTGCCAGTCTATGGTCTCTTGATTATTTTCTTACCCCTTGTTCCCAGTTTTAGGAAAAATAGAATGACTTCTCACAAACTGTTTACAAGATACATCCTTTTAAAATCCATTTTCAGACACTTCCACCATTTGACAGTTTTTCATCCTTTAAATTTTTGCACTAGAACCTTAAATATAGATGTTCCTATTATTTTGAAATATTTGCAATAACCTAACATCTCTTTCTCTGTTTTACATATCAAGTGATCTCTAAAGTGGATTCTCAAGTATTTACAGCTGCAGGTATCTTACATGGTAAATGGAAATTGCCTTGGCATTCAGGGGATATATGATACGTGGTTAGTTTTATGCTCTAACTTGGCTGGGCCATAGTACCCAAATATTTCATCAGACATTCTTCTGAATGTTTCCGTGTAAGAGTTTTTTGGATGAGATTAACATTTAAATCAGTGGACTTTGAGTAAAGTAGATTACCCTCCATAATGTGGATAAGTCTCGTCCAATCAGTTGAAGGCCTTAATTGAACAAAAACTGACCTCTCCAGAACAAGAACGAATTCTGCCAGCAGAACTGCCTTTGGGCTAGAACTGCAGTTCTTCTGGGTCTTCAGCCTACTGGCCTACACTGTAGATCTCACTCTCTCTCTCTGTATACGTAAGTGAATTTATTTTTATTTTTTTATTTAAATTCAATTAGCCAATGTATAGTACGTCATTAGTTTCAGATGTAGTGTTCACTGATTCGTTAGTTGCACATAACACCCAGTGCTCATCATATCATGTGCCCTCAATGTCCATCACCCAGTTACCCCATCTCCCCATCCACCACCCCTTCTGCAACCCTCAGTTTGTTTCCCAGAGTCAAGACTCTCTCATGGTTTGTCTCCCTCTCTGATTTCTTCCCATTCAGTTTTCCCTCTGTTCCCCTATGATCCTCTGCACTATTTCTTATATTCCACATATGGGTCCATATGATAATTGTCTTTCTCTGACTGACTTATTTCGCTTAGCATAATACCCTCCAGTTCCATCCACATCAATGTAAGTGGTAGGTATTCATCCTTTCTGATGGCTGAGTAATATTCCATTGTTGTATACATATATAAATATATCTAGATAGATATCTATACTTAGATAGCTAGATATATTTATACTCTGTATTTCCTATTGGTTTTGTTTTTTTGGAGAACCCTAATGCATATGATTTCTTTCTTTTTTTTTTTTTGCAGATGAAGGTATCTTTTTATTTTTTGAAAACAAAATGAAATTTTGCATTCATTAATTAGCAGACTTTAAGTGCCTAATATGTGCAAGGCTGTGTGCTGGGCGACGACGGTACATTGGCTAAACTGGCTCCCTGTCTGTAAGTAAGCACCTTTTCGAGGGGGGGATGAGGCAGAGGCTGGAAGCTGACAAGTAAATACTCCATTACAATATAGTAGTCCTGCCTTATCCCCGTTTCACTTTCGGTGGTTTCAGTTACCCATGGTCAACCGTGGCCTGGAAGCAGATGATTTTTCTGACATATTGTCAGAAGGTCAGTAGTAGCCTAACACCGTGTCACAATGCCTATGTCATTACCTCCCATCTCATCGCATAGGCATTTATTATTTCGCATCATCACAAGAAGGGTGAATTCAGTATAATACATTTGGAGAGAGAGAAATCACCTTCATGTAACTTTGATGACAGTATATTGTTATAGATTCTATTTTTAGTTATTAATCTCTTAACTGTGCCTAATTTTATAAATTAAACTTTATGATATGTATGTATGTACGTATGTATAGGGAAAAGATATACCCATGGTTTAGTACTCTGCAGTTTCAGGCATCTACTGCATATGATTTATTTCTATTTGCTGTTCTTTCTTTCTCATTGTTACTGGGACATTTGTCTTTTGCCTTTTATTCTTAATTCTTTCAAAACTCTGCCATCTCTCTTCTTTTTTAAAGATTTTATTTATTTATTTTAGA